CACACACACACACAAATAAATAAAATTTTTTAAAAAAGAGTCACTCAAAAACTCATGGAGACTATGAACCCAGATATTGAGGAAACTCATTGGCTAACTTGGAATCTACACACTGGCTAGAACATACTGAGTTTATTCTTGCGGGGGCTGCTAGGGTGCTGACAAGGTAGAGCCAAGGAAGACTTCTGTGCTGGTGCATTGCAGCGAGTGTTGGGGTCATACAGCTCAGCTAACAGCTAGCTCATATTGGATGGATACTATCAAACTGTCTGAAGCTTTAGCCTTGAACACTGACTTCAACTAAGTGTTGGCTTTGGAGACAAGAACCATGCAGATATGCAGATGGAGACAGATTGCCTGTATTTTCTTCAGCTTATTGACTATGTCTGGAAAATGACAAGACTGTTGCATTTCAATTGAATTTCCTCACTACTATTTTGGACCACCTGTACAGCTGTTTATTTAGAACACTCCTCAGTAACAGTGAACAGCAGAGAGGAAAAGAGGATCTTCCCAAAAGGACTGTGTCACTGTGGTTTACATAAATATCCAGCTGAAAGATTTTATCTGTCCTCTCCATGGGAGCTATCCCAATCATGTCCTTCAACTTGTAGGTAGCATGAATGACCTAGAGTTCTGGGTGGGCTGTTACATAAGGTAGAATCTATGGATGAACCTATTCACAGCAGATAGAACTTCTTGTTAACCAGCAGAGCTTCAGAAAAAAGAACTACAAAGAAAAATTTCCAACTGATCAATCTCATCCTCAGAAAGAACCAGACCTGCACAGTGTATCACTCCTGTCCACATCTTTGTAGGAAAGAACTATTAGATTAGGGACACCATTGCTGCAAACTCTTCACCACAGCAGCAGCTTTATGAGCAGAAATTGTTCCATGTTTGAACTAATCTGTGGGAGAAAGAGTTCAGATGCATTTTTAAAAATCATTTATTTAGGGGCTGGGGAGATGGCTCAGTGGACTAAGTGCTTCCCTGGCAAGTGCAAGG